ATGCATGTCCAACAGACTTCACAGTTCGAAACCAGAAAAAGAGGGACTCACTTCTAAAATCATCTGTAATCTGATATGGTCTCTAATTCCATTTTGACATGTCCTTAGATTTAAAATTCATGATGCAGTCTTAGTAAACACTTTGAAAATACAGGTTCTCCAACTTAATAGTCACTAGTAAATGGAATTCTAAGCAGACGTGGGGAGAAAAGGCCATTAACACATGCTGGATTTCAAGTGAAAACCATGTAGAAGAATGTTCAGAATGCTTTCCTTTCTAAATGTTTGCTCTTGACCTTATAAAATTTCTCTTCTGAGTTTGGTAACGGTACGGGGCTCTCTTGTCCCTATGAAGCACTCTTTAAAACACGTCATCTGCTGGCGGTTAATGTCATCTATCCTCAAATGCTATTATTGATCTCAAAGACAGTTAGTCAGTTACATGGTTAACAGTGTTTGAATTCATGTATTTCAATAACAAAGACAAGTTTTGCTTGAAATGTTTTGCTTAAGAAAGGACCTTCAGGGAAAGGTAGAGGAAACTGGATAGTGGGAAAATTAAAGAGGAGGAAATGGGGGGGAGGCAGGTTGGATATAAATACATTATATACATATATAAATAATAATATAATATTTAAAACAAAAAGTAAAGATACCAATGTATTTCGTCCTTTTGTTTCTCCCATTATTCACTGAAAGTGAAATGACATGGTTGACTCATAAGCATGTGACTTTCCAAAACTCCTGACACACACATCCACAGGACAGAAAACCCAGGAATATATCCATGTGCTTACAGCCAAATGAGTTTTCACAAAGATGCCAAGGGCAGATTCTTCCATAAGTGGTACTGGGAAAACTGGGCAACTGCATGCCAAAGATAACAGTAGATTGCAAACACAAAACTAAAATCAAAATAGATCAAAGAACTAAATACAGAACATTAAACTATGAGATAGCAGGAGAAAATACGGAGGGAACACTGGTCCACACTAACATCCCCCAAACTCAGATAACAAAACCATAGACATGAGAGAACGCTGGTCTACACTAACATCCCCCAAACTCAGACAACAAAAGCCATAGAGATGAGAGGGGCACAACTGGGCACAACAAACACAAGAATCGGAGCTGAAAGGGAGCATGGAGGCAGGGGTGACACATTTGCCCAAGACTCATCTGAGCAGGACTGAAGCGTGCAATGTGTGAGGAACACAAACAACTCAACAACGGTAAAACTAAGCAACATAACTACAAAGTGGAGAGGAGATCCGGATAGATATTCATTGTTTTTAAGAAAGGAAGAAACATAAATGGCCAACAAATTTGAAGAAAGAATTTGCAGCATGACTAATAATCAGGTAAACAGAAATCCCAATGATAATGATATGCCACAAAATGGGCATGTTTGGGGGAAAATCAGTGAAATAGGAAGAGAAGTTTACTCTCTCCACACTGTGGGTGAGAGCAGGAACTGGAATAGCCAATATTGAAAATGGTGTCGATATTCATAAAAACAAAGAAAAAGACCTAAACTAAAAATGAAACTATCAGATGATGCATCAGTTCCAGGAGCCAAAGGAAGACCCACAGTGGAGTAAATGGATAAAGATGTGGTGTTAGCACACAGTGGGATGCTATTCTGCCACAAAAAGGATAAACGCCTGTTACTTCCAGCGATTCGATGTAGATAGGGCACATGCTGTCTGGGATAATCCAGGCTCAGTAACATATTCTCAGTTATATGGAGAAGCTAACATAGTTTGTCTCCTCAAATTTGAGGGTAGAACAGTGATCATAAAATCTATACGGGGTGGGGTGATAGAGAAAGATAATATCAGGTACAATCAACACACAGATAGGGATAAATTCTAGTTAGCACACTATAGAATAGTGAGGCTTTAAATAGTAATAGCTTTTAAAATTATGTGCCTCAAAAATATCTTGAAGGTCTCCCTGCACAAAGAAGCAATGAGCATTCAGATTTGAGATCGCATGTTCTTTATAAGTATAAAATCATCACAATAAGTAGTGTGTAAACTACATCAATTAAATCAAAATTTAAATGTTAAATACATGTGACTTTTCCATTGAGCATGAGGTAACCTTTTGATGCCACGAAATGAAATCAGGAATATCCCCCTCTTGGGAATAAACTCACAAATGTGTAATGGAAATTATGTCCAAGGAGAAAATGCAGTGAGACAAGGGGATTTTTAATTTTCTTCCCATCAGAAGTTGATAAGTCAGAGAACACTAAAATTTAGACAGTTCAAGTAGAAAAACAGGGGTTGGAAAGTGGGTGTAAGTGAGTGTGTACTATTTGTTAGTAATGCGCATGAACATCCCTTTCCTATGGCTGTAAGAGGTAAATATTCTTTATTAATCCAACAGGCTCAAAGCCCAAAAGTGAATGTCTTCTTCAGCTGAGCAATTGGTGAGTCCTCTGGAAAGACAATAAAGACGAACTGGGGCTATAGAGCATTGCTGATAGCTTTGCTACAGAGAAATTAATGTCGCAAACTACCTACAAACATTTCAAAAGCAAGAGTTTAACTGCTATAAAATGGCAAAATTATCATAATCAACACAGACACTTCTTTTTCAGATAGAAGACCCAAGATATGAAATCTAGGAGGTCCTGACTGCACAGAAGGTCCACACTTTTGTTTTCTTGCTACTTTGTTGTCCTCAACAAACATCTTCCACTTTGTGGCTCAAAGCGTCTGCTGTAGCTGCTGCAATCGCATCCCAGTTCTCACTACAGGGAAGCAACAGCAAACAAGAGGACGTACTTTTCATTGTACATGAGCACAAAATTAAACGTTAACAAAATTTCTGCTAACATGGCACTTAAAGGGATCAAACCAACGGTCACATTAAGAGCAAGGAGATCTGAGAAACGCATGCTTTGATGCTTCACTGTGTATCTTACTGGAAATTCTATTAATGGGAGCAAAGGCAGAAACGGACCCAGGTGAGGTCCAGTCTTTGCCGCAGTGACTACACTACAAGTTGAGCAGGAAATCATACCAACTGTTCCTAGTGTGATCAATTCTCAGATATCATTTTTGCTGCATGAGGCTAATTTCCAATTGCATCCCCATTAAGGTAAATGTTGGACCATGGAGGGAAAGCATATACGCCATTACCCTACCATGCTTCTGTGACCTTGAGAATGTCAATTTGATGAGGGTAAAGGGAAAAACTGGGACACAGTATGCTTGCTTCTACAACTGAGAAGTTTAATGATTTCCTTAAACTTGGGGACAAGAGTGTGAGACAAGGACCTGTGATCAGATCAGACTACAAGAGAGTATCTCAGATCAGGAGAAAAGTTAAAGAATAGCCATTTCAGCCAGGCATTGGTGGTGCACGCCTTTAATCCCAGCACTTGGGAGGCAGAGGCAGGCAGATCTCTGTGAGTTCGAGGCCAGCCTGGTCTCCAGAGCGAGTGCCAGGATAGGCTCCAAAGCTACAGAGAAACCCTGTCTCAAAAAACCAAAAAAAAAAAAAAATAGCCATTTCAAATTGTATCAGGTAAGCAGAATTGGTATTGGGCACTTATTTGATAGCTTAAGTTACCTAAAGTTAACTCTGGTCACCAATAAACTAGACATGTATGAGATACACAGTAACTACTTAGATACATATAAACAAATTAGTGAGATACCCAGTAACAAATTAGAAATGTCTAGTTCCTGGTGAAACTCCTTTTAACATGACAAAATAAAATTTATTTTTTTCTTACAAATATTTCCAATGTATCCTACTGTTCTAGGCACTTCATTTATATGCCCATCCCGACATTAAGCACTGGAAAACTTGTCATTTTAAATGTTGTCAGCCCTCCTATGGACATCTTCATACAAATGATTTCCCTCTGCTGACTGGGTTTCTAAGAGTAAAAGAATTACTAACTCGACATCGCTCCCGCCTCCTGTTTCCACTTCTAATGTCTTCCTCTATTTAGATACATGATCATTTTCACTTGCTTATCTGATGTATTGGTGCAACACTGACTGCATCGCTATGGGGTTATTGATAGGTAATAACTTTTCCTGCCTCTCCTCATTTTCCTACAGATTTGTACAATGTTAGAACAAAACCAGAACAACAACAACAACTAAAAAACTTAATAAACACAGGAAAGTCTTAGCGGCAGCAGTCCTAGGCTGCACTTGCCTTCACTTCAGAAACTTTATCCCAATAATTTGAAAACAGGCAAACATTCTAATATGTCTAAGTATAAAATCAAAAGACTAAAAGTAACTAAAACAGCCATTGTTAAAAAGTTCTTGCTCATTCATTTCATGAATCCATTAGAAATTTAAAATCTATGAAAATATAGAAAATGTTTGTTTCAAGTAAAATATGTATAATTCACAACTTTTTGCAGCATATGCTAATATAATACATGAAACTAATTGAAAGCATTCGTCTTCTACATTTTTATCTCATTACAAAGCTGAGATTGTTTTTTGTAATTTCACAAATTTTGAATTATTCTTTTCTCAAATATCCCATCCTGACTGATGTTTTTCCATCCTCTTCTCTTCCCCATGCCTTCCCCTACCCCCCCCAATTCTGCTCCTCCTACATGTCCCTTCAGAAAAAGGCAGGCACCCCAGGGACAGCAACCAAACACAGCACTTCAAGATGTAATAATAATAGTAATAGGCACCTCTCCTTGTATTAAGGCTAGATGGGTCAGCCCAAAAGGAGGAAAAGGGTCCCAAAGGCAGGCAAAAGAGGCAGAGACAGCCCCGCTTCCAATGTTAGGAGTTCCTCGAGAAGATCAAGCTACACAACCGTAAGTATCACCCTTGACACAGCTGGGAACACCAGGAACCAGAGACTGCTGACCCAGAGACCTCGGATAGCACCAAACAAGACCAGAAAGAAAACAAAAAGGCAAATTTCACAATTTTTTAAACTTTCAAATTTATCTATAATGAACTGGAACCCCTACATAAAGCAGCATAAAACCTCAAACTCACTTTGGTTTGTGATTCTTCTTTCTATTTGTACTTTCCAAATTAAATTTCAAGAGTTCTTCATAATAAGTGGAAGATATTACTCCAAACTTATTGATCGAGGGTGACTTGTCAACCGGCATTGTTACAGATCAGAAACCTAGAGGAAAATGGCAAATTCTTGTTAGAATACAACACAATGCGATACAAAATAACAAGTCATGTGAAAACTTATAAAATGTATCAAGAAGAAAGCCAGGCACAGTGAGGAATAACTTAAACTGATTTATAGGACTCATACCTGGCATTGGCACCCAAACCCGTGTGTTTTCAACTATGTCACTGCAAGCTTATCCATTCACACGATTTGTAGTCTTCTTGTAATCTAAAGTCTTGTTCTTGAAACCACTGCAAGGAAGACCAGCACAGCTGGCTAGGAGAATGGTCTACACAACAAGGCCAGTGCATTCACATAACTGCTCTGTGCCCAATTCTCCACTCTAAGCAGGGAGAGTGGCTCCACCCTGTGCCTGAGAAGGGAGTAGCATGGGATATGTCAGTTGTTGAGAACAGACACTGGCATGTAGCAAGCAGGCTTTCCACTAAATGCTGGTGACTGTTTGTACACCAATATGTAAGCGGGGTTTTCTGAGACAGTGTTTTGGTACCTTCTTACATTTCTTGTCTTTTGATCATTGTGCTTTCTCCTCTATAGTTACTACCCACCTTCTGTTTCCTTCTGAAAAATACCTGAGCGTATTTCCATGGATGTAAACAAAACCGGGACACTATGTTTAGGACACATACGCTACTTATGTTTAGTGGAATATTTAATGCAAAAATTAAAGAAATAGGTTGGTCACATTTATACAGAATTATTTTTCATTTCTAAGATAACAGAATTCGAAAGCTAATCCTTCATATCATTTAACAGTTTGACAGAAAACTGAAGTACGCGCAAATGGAGTAACTGAAGGAATTCTTTCTAAAACTTTGGATAGTTAGAAACAAGATGATGGCCTTAGGGTCCAACAAGAAGAGAGTGGACAGATCCCACTCTCAGGACCATACTGGAAGACAGCCACAAAACGAGAGACTGCGGGAGAATGGAGCTTAATTTAAAATGTGTCCCTTTGGCTGAGGAATGCCACTGGCTTGAGGCTGCCCTCTAAGAAGACTGGAGACTGGACTCCTCTTGCCTCCCGGCTCCTGCCCCATCATCTGCCTGTGCTTCTGGCTAAGCTAAGCCAAACTGGAGCAGAAGGCAGACGAATGGGAAGCGGGTGGCAGGACAAAATCTGGCACAGAATGGCTCACAAATGTAAAGCGGTGGCCTTCTATCGCTGTCGCTCTATGGCAAGGCTGGCTTCCAACCATCCACACCTTGGAGAAGGCTGACGCAAAGTCCCAAGTCAGCAGCCTTGCAGAGCAACTTTGGGGGATGTCACTCAGAATGAGTGTCATTCAGTTTAGTGTAGAATGCAAGCTACTCCAAGCAGAATAAATATGTTTAGAGTATATTTTATTTAACAGCTACCAATATTAAAATTGTGCCTTTCTGCCTTAAAAGGTGCCCAGAAAAACAAGAATATGATTGTCACAGACCACCCAGAAGCAGAAATAAGCAGCTGCATTCATCTGATAAATGGAATAAATGCTACAAAGTTGACAAGGTTTTAACGTGATACAAAATTCTTGATGTATGTTCAAGTAACCTATGAATGATTATCTTCCAAAGAAGGCAACGCCCCCAATCTGTAAGAGTTAGCCATTGGTGCAATGTTGCATATACCCAAAACACAGCTGAGGTGCGCAAGTTAGGATCTGACTTATTCAGGCTAATTCGTTTAAAGTAATGCCAAGTGGATGGTCAGAAAAAAACACAGGGAGAACAAGTGTTTGAAGAGCAGAGTCTCTGGGGCTGTATTTGGAACTAATTGACTTGGCACTCCCCACAGCAGCAGTTATGATTTTAATCTTTCCGGAAGCCAGCTCCTAGTTGGTTTACAGTGTGGGAACGATTCACATCGTGTTGATATCTCTGGCCTTTGCTCAGTACACCAGTGGACAGTCGTGCCCGGGTAGAGGAGAAAAATGACATTTTTGTTAAAATCTGCAAATGCTGACTCTCCACTTCTGATTGACCCTTGGTAACCCTGGAAACTGGATACATCAGGCACCAGTTTCTAAACTATAAACTAGGAAAGCAGTGTCTGCCCTTTTCTTAAGTGGTTTTGGTTTGTTTGTTTGTTTGTTTGTTTGTTGTAATCAAATTCTTAGTACAAATTTGAAGGCATCAGTAAAGGAATTACTAGTGTTTCTGTTATTATTGCATTTTCACCAGGACACTGTTGTATTGGGTGATACTTTGAGATTAGTTTTTCTTTTTAAGTTTTTTCAACTAAAATACATTTTAATATTTTCAATAATTTTTTAACTTAGATAAAGTCTTGTTCTCACTCTAGCATAACTAGCAAAGCAAAGTTTAAATATAATTTTTGATAAATTTGTTCTAATTACTCATGACAAATAAGCCTCACTGGACTATTTTTGTCAAGAAAATACAATGGAAGGAGGCATGTTTCTATTTCTCAATATAACCCTCTGTACCATAAAAAAGAAGAATCACATGAGTAAAAGATAGGAAAAGCACATGGCAGACAAGCCTCACTTGGCAAAAAAAAACTTGTTTTTCCAAAGAAGCATATAAATAATTAATAATAGCCAGCTATAATGAATAATCTGAAGTAAACTCACTCCTACCACTCCACCTGGGAGGGCAATGAAGCATAATTCAGAACAGTTCCTTGTTTCTGAAGAAACTCAGGTCACGAGACTCTTGTTTCTTGGAGTTTTCGCATGAGCACTCAGAATTCCCCTTGCACAAATTCAGTCTTGGACATTGTTCTAACAACACACAAACAAATATTTTTTTAAAAAGTAGTTATTTGCACAAGTAAAATTAGCATTGAACTACCTAAAAATGACAGAGATGGCATTTCTTTTTAGAGAAATTGTTAAAATTAAGCTTGTGTAAGACACCAGCAATGACAAATTATCATCTTGGAATGAGATTCTGTCAGGGATGGGAAATAATTCAGACAAGCAGAGAGCAACTGAACAAATTTTAAAAAAAAATGAAGACAGGTGACCTTGGTCCTACAATTTGATTTCTGACCTTGGCCAACCATGTGGTTGACTTTGAATGGCATTTATCACCCAATGTAGCATCCAGGTGAGACTGTCCTCATCGGCCACTTCTCTCCCCGCTTTAGTGAAGTATAATTGACAAACCTGTATGTATTTATTGAATAGATTGTGATGCTTTGAGTATAGAAATGTTCAAATGTGAAAAGATGACCATAGTTAACAAAAATACATATCTCCTCTCATATAGATTGTTCATCTGTGTGGTAAGTATATTTAAGACTTACCTTGGCAATTTTCATGTGTACATTGTTAACTGTGGTTTCCACATTGTACAATAAATCCTCAGAACTCAACCTCCTGTCTATCTGAGATGTGTGCCTTTGCTGAAGGGTCCCTGTCTACCCTTGGCCACAGCCTCAGCGAACACCATACTACTCTCTGCCTGTTGAGCTTGACATTTTGAGTCTACATACGTGTGAGATCATTCAGTAACTGTTTTTTGTATCTGGCTTATTTCACTTAGCATAACTCCTTTCAGGTCCATCCATTTTGTCACAAATAAGTAAGTACTCTTTCTCTTTTTTCATTTATTACTCCCATATATATGCTGTATTGAAGGTGAGGATGTAATTACTTCACTAGACTCAAGATAAATGATAAATGTGTGTTTATTGGGGAACAACTACTCAGAAAAAAATACAAAGAACCTCGGGAGCGTTTCTCTGCCCTTCCAACCAGATGTGCTGACCCAACAGAAAGAAGGTGCCAAGGAAAGCCACCCCTCAAGCTTCCTTCTTTCTGCTTCTTTTTGCCTGAGGCCACGCCCAATGGGGGTGTGGCTACCGCTACAAGTTCAGGGCAAGACCACTACATTGTATTTTCTTTCTCTGCTGATTCATCGCCAGACGTTTGTGCTGACTCAGTATCTCGGCTCTTAGAAACACCCTTTGACACCATTTCCATCTCCTTTGACTGCATCAGAAATGGGAACTAGTCAGCCTTTATTTTTTCCATAGCAACCTCTTATCGGTTCTGTACTTGCTATCTAGATTTCTAATTTTTGGGACACTGAACAAAGAATATATACCCAAGGTCACCTACATTTATGATATACAGAACTGTGGTATATTAATTGAATGCTGTCTTGCACCTCTGAATTGTGGTAATTTGTTTTTGTGGTGATAGAAACCTAAAACAAAAATTTATTGTCATAGAGGTTTATAAATACAGAATCAAAATATTTCTTAGACATTAGTTTTGATACAATTTAACAAGAGAACTTATAGGAACTAGCTACTATTTCAACATTGAAACTATGGCATTCATGTTAAATAAAAGTAAAAATTAATGTTTGAAATTGATTGTAAAAATTTACATTTTTGCTATGCCTGTCATGATTCCAATTTGAGATTCATTTTTTACATTGATTGTTATTAAAACAGAATGTGTAATTGCAATGTACTCATTTAGTCCACGCAAAGAATGGTAAGAAATTGAGCCCTTTAAGAAATGTAGTAAAGTAAGAGCATTGTGGTCACTTCTTGCTGTTCTGTATTGGTCACTCTTCTCACTGTTGTGACAACACACCTTACAAAGGTAAGTCAGGAATGGAAGGGTTCTTTTGGTTCACAGTTTGAAGGTAGCTTGCATGGCATGGCTGGCATGACAGCAGGAGTGTGAGACGGCTGGCTACACTGCATCAGCATTTAGGGCACAGGAGACGTGAATACTTCATCCAGCTCCCCGCTGCCCTTCGCTCTTGTCTGGTACCTCAGCCCATGAAATAGCACTGCCAGCATTTAGGGTAGATCTCCCCACTTAATTACCCTTCCCAGAAAATCCACACAGACAAGCCAATACACTCAAAATAATATTCTTTAGGAAACTTAAGACTAAAATTATAATGGAATTCTGCTTCTAACTCCAACAGCTAACTGTAAAGACAACGCCACCTGACACGCGTGAGGTGCGCAAGAACGGAATTCTCCTCCAGGGCCGACGCAAGAGGAAATAAGCTTTGAACACTTTAGGAAACCGGCTTGTGTTTCTGAAAGTTAATCAATAGCTACACCATGATCCAGAAAACTCATCTCAAAAGAAATGAAAACCTTGTCACAAAGGAGTTGTACAACAGTGTGTAAGCGCGGTGAATCATATTAGTTCATCGGGAGAATGAAGAAACAACTGGCAGAGTGTCTAGATAACAGTGCTCTTCTCGCTGGTAATAAGCAAACTACTACTGCTCGGGCGGCGAAGCGTGAACCTCACAAACACTGCGCTGACAGCCGCCAACGTGACAGTCTGTCCACTACTGGCTGGTCCCATTTCTATCACTGTAAGGACACTCA